GAAAATCCGCTCAGGGACACGGCCCCTTTAAGAGGCGTCTACTGCTGCCGCAGCCTCCACCTCACTCAGACCAGATAGCCCCGTGTCCTCACCCCGTCCTGCCTTCTGCCATTCCAGAGTGATTTCTTGGATTTCTCCCTAGTTGTATGGCTTGTTCATCCCAGGCGACTTTTCCTTGCTGCTGCTCCTTGTTTCCATCACAACTTTGATTTAGTCGCCAGAGGGATGAACAGAGCCTCCATCATCTAGGCCATTTTTTCCCCTCCCAGGGTTTATGTTTTAAATAGAGGCTTTTTCTTGACCTGGAATACTTCAAAGGATTTGTTCTCCCTCTCCTTGCTTATGAGGTTCACAGCGGTCTTTCCAGGTATGAAAGAAGATCATTTTGCAGATGCAGAGAACCTCAGGATATTTGGAGGACCTTATATGAAGCATCATGGCCAGGCTATGGAATTAGGTTCCAGGTAGAAAGAAGTCCTGACATCCCAGCAGCACTATGGAAACTGTGTCCCCATATTGAGGAGTGTGTGGCATCTCTGAGGTCCCTGAAGTAGGCTGGCCCAAATAATTGGTTCTTTTGAGCGTGTTAACTTGCCCTGGCTCAGACTGAATGTCTCTCTATGGGACAACCTGAAAACAAGTATCTTGAATTACTCATCATGAAGTGAGTGTTAAATGTTCACTAAGTCATAAAAACAGAAGCGTCTAGAGATATTCCATTTTCAAGCGGAAGTGAGGCATATGAGATGAAGCTTATGCAGACCCTAAAGGCAGAGGTGATTTGAATAAGTAGGAGATTGGCGCTCCCGATACTTTAACTCTTCCTCCAGGTCCTCTTCTCCCTCAAACCACACCTATAATTTCATTGCAGGGAACGAAAGGTGGGTCCAATGACTAATAGGAAGAAAAAATAAAGCCTTCTTTACAGATGGCTCAGTGCAATATACGAAATACAGCCAGAAGTGGACTGTTGTGGCGTTAACAATCCCACTGAAGCATGGCCATGAAAAGCAGTCTGAAAGGAAAATTGTTCCCACCAACAGAAACTTAATATAAATATAAATAGTCATCCATTTTGTCTGGAAGAACAGCTATCTAGAGGTATAGATCCATGCCATATAACAATTAGAAGTTAACAGTTTATCTGTATAATCAGAGATTTAGAATAAAAAAAGTGGAGGACTGGTTAACCAGGAGGTTTGGGGTAAATGAATAAGGATGGACCTCTCATAATGTGACTAAAGTTGAGGCTACTCATATACCATATGAATATGTGTGTTCATCATAAGTTTTCTTCAGCAAACACACATACACACACACATACACAACACACACCTATCAAAGATTTGGTAGACAAGCGGACTTTTTCTGTGAATAAGAGTCAACCTCTTTCCCCACCACTCCAACAGTGTTCAATGAACTCAAAAACGAAGTAGCCGTGATGACAGGACTGTAGATTACACATGAGTCTTTCCTCACCAAGACAATCTGGCAAGTGCCACTGCTGTGTCCAATCTTCTAATAGCGAAAACCAAAGCTCAGCCTGTGGTGTGGCACCTGCTAATTCCATATGCAATCAACTACCTGCTACCCAGTTAATTGTACAGGATCCTTTCTGTTGTAATGGAGGCTAATTGTCATCACTGGAATAGACCTTCATTCTGGATATGGATGTCTTTTCCCAGCTCAGCATTATCATCTATTTATCTGTTCTTCTATTTCCAGTGATTATTTTTAATCATTATCATTATGGCAATTTCCACAAAGCTTTGTACCATACAGATGCTCTGTTAACTTCCTCAGTGTCTCTTTAGACTTCTTCCCCAAACCCATATTAAAGGTTCAATTCCGGAGTTCTCAACAAATAGGGTTCATTAGCATGCTCTGAATGTGGGCCTCCTGGGATCTTTTATTTCTTTCTTCAAGTGATTATCCTGAGGTCTCCCTGAACAGGACATTTAAAATATGCTTCACTCTGGTATAATATCAGAAGCAGCATATATCCAGGCTCAAACAAGTCGGAACAGAGGAAATAAGATTTTGAAGGGACAGTGGTTTTATTATCACTACTACAAATATGCTTAACTTAAATAAATCACATTTCAAAGGCTTACTTACTGTCCAGGGTGAATGCTAAATTGATGTGGAAATAAGAAGTGGCAAACTACAGCTAAGCTTATATATAGCAAGATCAGTAAGATTTTTCCTACTAAATTTTCATAAGTTTGTAAACTTCTGTGAATAATTAGGTCAATAAGTATTGGTGAGAAAGCAAACAAGTTCAATTTTATGTTACCCTTCATCCACATCTGACTTCTAAGTTGTGATTCATCCCATGGACATGTATGGGCAAAATCTCACAGCACTGCCCTAAAAGTCAAGTGTAAGTATATTCTCAGCTTATAGTGATATTGATGTTACCTGTCTGTGATTGCAGAACATGAAATCATATAACGGTGACTTTTTTCAATGAAAAAGTAACTTATGCTTATTTTATAGCATTTATACAATATAGACAGGTATAAAAGTGTAAAAGTATAAAGTAAAAAGAGATAGTTTGATAGCTCCTCTTATGCCCCCCACATCCCCATTTAACTCCATAGAAGTAACACTGCCAACAATTTATTTTTCCAGATATATGGACTACGCACATAAGAGTATAGTTTTATATCATATATATAGGTATATATATATGATTTTTTAACCCAAATGGGATCATACAATATTAAGGCTAATTTGAAGGGAAGACATTCAAAAGAAAATGCACTGTAGAGAGTTAAAGATATGAGATAAAAAATGAAATAAGAATTCAGGCCTAGAAATATCTGTTTGAGAGGTAGCATGAGATAGGTGTAGGACAGGATTGTATCACTGATTTGAAAACTAGAGCAGGCAGGCAGCTTGTAAAGAATGTGTGTTTAGAAGAAAGAACAGCCAGAGTAAGGCATACAATCATCAGAGTCTAGAGAAAAGAGGAAAAATTAGGAAGAAGCCATGGGTTAAAGGCAAAAATTAAGATGCAGAATTCAAAAATCAAAGACAATGTAAAGGCAAAATACAAACATGCAGAAATTTTTTAAATAATATGCAATCACCATTTAATAAATTTATTAAGAAATAAAGAAGCAAGTCCACATGTATTTTAGAATCAGAAGAATTTGCTAGCTGTGTGTTCTTGGCCAAATCACTTAAACTTTCTCAGCCTCAATTTCACCATCACCATCATTATTATCCTTATGGTATCATTAATCCATTTTAGCTCATGTAAGGTTGAGAGAATAGTCATAATCGTTCTGCCCCTGGGTCAGGATGGGAAATCGGCAGACTACGGAGCCAGATGGCTCCAGGTCAGAATCCACAATATACTAACTGTGGGAATTGGAACAATTTGTCAACAGCTACAAACCTCAGTTTCCTCATCTGCAAAATAGGGATAGTAATAGTGCCTATCTCAACTGGTTATTTTGGGAATCAAATAAAATAATGACAAGACTTGGCGAATAGCAAGTCCTCAATTAACGATAATTATTATTTATTATTCCAAACAAAGCAATGTACATAAAATGTTTTCTTAATTTAGAAGATGGTAAAAATGTTTATTACTTGTTTCTATTTTCAAGAGTCAGAAAAGGACTGACCTTTAACACAAGAGGAGTCATCTGCTCTTTTAACAGAAGTATGAAAAGATGAGTGTAGGACAGAAATGTCTTGAAAGAAGAAAGATAGACAGGAAGATTATGCCAGAAGAAATCTTACTAATTATTAATATAAGGTACGTGTGTTATCTGCTGAGAATAGCTTTGAGAATTTGAGAACTGTGGAGAAATTAAATAAATTTAAATTTTAAATTAAATTGTATTGTAATAGCTAAGTAAATATTTAGAAATCTGTTCCTCATCAATAAACAAAAAAATAATTATTCATATTCTTAATTATGGTGTAAATAGCCCCTTAGTCACTCAAAATCTTCATTAGAAACTCCTAAATGAGGCTTACAACTTCTGATTTCAGTTATATTTTTCTAGCCAGAGTAAAATTAATAAACATGAATGTGGAAGAAAAATGATAGCAGGAATCTGATTGGTAAGATGCCATCTGTTCTGTTCCTCTGCAAAAACCATTGAAGAATAAAGAACTGGGACCTGAAGGAAGGCAGACACTAGCAGCAAAGACTTAGAGAGTGAAGATATTAGTTACAATGGTCCACAAATTCAAAACATGAAAGGGAAGTTGGGGGCCTCTTTAGTTACCATAGCTATAATCGCGTTGCTGATTCCCTCCTAAAAGTCCCTCGACTATGAGTTAACATAGCTTCTCTTTTCACCCTGAGACCAAGAGAGTAATGGAAATGAGACGCACTTCCAAATTAGCAGATATAACGAAAGATCAAAAGTAGAGTCAGTGTTCAAAGAGAAAATAAAAATATAAAATGGAAAAAATTATAACTTAGCCATTGGATTAGAAGGTAGGCAAGAAAAGTACATGAAGAGCCTAAAAAAGAGCCATGGTGAAAAATCCTCCTCTGTGGGGATTTAAGAGCCAGGCTCTATCCACTAAAAAATCTCATTTTAGTTAAATTGACAGAAAAAAAAAAGACATTTGAACCAATTCAACAGGAAAGGCTTAGCCTCTTCTTAATGTTCCTGAGTTCTTTTTCCATTCTCATCACTGATTTCTTTGTTTTGTACCTTCCTAGGCTGCAAAGGTTAACAATGAAAAACCAAACCTTTCTGACAGAATTCATTCTGCTGGGACTAACAGACATCCCAGAGATTCAACTTGTAATCTTTATACTTCTCTTCCTCACTTACATATTCAGCATCATTGGAAACCTAACAATCATCACCCTCACACTACTGAACGCCCAATTCCAGACTCTCATGTATTTCTTCCTCTGGAATTTCTCCTTTTTAGAAATTTCCTTTACAACCACTTTTACTCCTAGGCTACTTTTCAGCAAGAGCATCAGCTTTTCAGCAAGAGCATCAGCTTTTCAGCAAGAGCATCAGCTCAGTATTTCTTTGCTGTATTTCTTGGGGCCACAGAGTTTTACCTTCTGACTGTCATGTCCTATGACCACTATGTAGCCATATGTAAATCCCTACATTATACGACCATCATGAGCAGCAAGGTCTATATCCAGCTGGTTCTCTGCTCTTGGCTAGGTGGATTCCTGATCATCCTATCCCCAATCATCCTGACTAGTCAGTTGGATTTCTGTGCCTCCAAGATACTGAATCATTATTATTATGACAATGGACCCCTCATAGAAATATCTTGCTCAGACACAAGACTCCTGGAGCTGGTAGACTTCATCTTAGCAGTTGTGACCTTGTTGGTCACCCTGGTGCTAGTTATTCTCTCCTATACAAACATCATCCAGACCATTCTGAAGATACTCTCTGCTCAGCAAAGGAAAAAGGCCTTTTCCACATGTTTTTCCTTCCTGATTGTCATCTCCCTCTCTTATGGCAGCTGCATCTTCATGTACATAAAACCCTCAGCAAAAGAAGGAGTTGCCTTCAGTAAGGGAGTAGCTGTGCTCGATACTTCAGTTTCCCCTTTACTGAACCCATTCATCTACACTCTAAGAAATAAACAAGTAAAACAAGCCTTCAGGGACATGGCCAGGAAGATTATGAGTCTTTAATGAATGTAAAGACTTCGAATTCAAAGGAAAATTTGAACAATATTCATAAAGTTCCTCCCCATTAGAGAAGCTCTAATATTCTCTTGATTAAAGCAACATCTCAGGTGAATTTATTATGAAGTGTTGTCGAAGTTATATTTTAAATTTGCCAATAAGAAGGAAATCTTCCCAAAAACCTGTTTAAATATTTCTTTTTAGTAAATAGACTTTTGAGCCAGACATTTAAAAATTTGCGAAAATGTGAAACAATGCCACTCTTCTCATTTTTTGAGACTATAATTATTTTAAATAAAAACATATTACTTGTGCAAAAAGAAATATTATAGTTGTTTAAAACAGAATTTTTTGGTTCTCAGTTTTAATTTCTAATATGATTTAAAAAATAAATATAGATATAACCCCTTAATAGATAAAGTTTTATAGGAAAATGATGTAGCTAGATAACATTGTTAATCTGAATACAAGAAAGGAATATCTGGATAAAATCACTAAGGTTGTCAAAAGACTAATGGTCCTGGGCTTACTAGTAGTAAAGTTTAGCTTTACAAACTGGGCTTTTAATGTTGTCAATGTCTTTTAAAAAGTTATCCAAACATATTATCAGAAATACTAGACACTTCACAGAAGAGGCTAATAATGTTTTGCAATAAAACTCTACTCTTGCAATAAAGGTCATCCTTTCTCAAATTGAGATAATTTCTTTCCTCATCTTTCTTGCTCTAACAATTCTAAAACTGTCTTCTTTAGACATGTAATGCCAAAAGAATTTCCAGTTGTAGGATTGATATTTCTGACTCTATCTCCCCTCCCAGTCATGAAATTTGAATGAAAATTATTAACAGGGGTACCCCTAACATAGTGAATATCCAATCTCCTCTTAAAGGAAGATTTAGAAGAATAGGAATCTTGAGCCATGTTGGCAATGGTCAAAACCTATAGGGCTCTATAAGAGTGCCTGAGCTTTAGGGAACATATTCTGTAGATGAACCTGAGAAGGCTGACAGTGAAAGGGCTTCCTGAGGATGCCTTAGGGAACAACATCCATATGTTTTAAGAATTGTTGTAAAGGGTGGTTAAAGTGGGGAGGGCATAGAAAACAATATGATGGTAAGCTGTCTACATTCTATTTAAAGTGGTAAAATATTGATTCTAAGTGGACAGTGGAAAGTTAAGCATGTGTATTATGATTCCCACAGAAATGACTTTAAAAATTAAAGAAATATAGTCAAAATCACAATAAACAAATGAATCTTAGTGGAATAGTAAAAAAAATTTAAATAACCCAAAAGTAGGCATGAAAAAGGAAATCAAGGAACTCAAAGAGAGGAAACAAGCAGTAAACGAATAGTAAAATGATGAACATATAAATAATTACATTAAATATAAGTGTTCCAAACATGCCATTTAAAATAAAGATTGTCAGAACAGATTTTTTCTAAGTAACCTAACTATATACTGTGTACAAAGATTCTCTTTAAATATAATGATTTAAGTAGGTTAAAAGTAAAACGTGGAAAAAGATATGTCACCCAAACACTAATTAAGAAAGCTGAAGTAGTCATATTCATATCAGACAAAGTAGACTTCAGAACAGAGAAATTTACAAGGGATAAAGAGGAATGTTTCATAATTATTAAGGAGTCAATTCAAGAAGAAATCCTAAACTTTATAAGTACTTAACAACACAGTTACAAAATATATAAATAAAAACTTACATAACTTGAAGAATAGAAAATCTACAATTATCTTTGATGACTTCAATACCCCTCTCTTGATAATAAAAATACTTAGTATACAGAAAATAAACAAGGATATGGAAGAACTGAACAACAACATCAATCAACTGGACATAACTGACATTTATAGAACACGCCACCTAAAAATAGAACACGCCACCTAAAAATAGAACACAAGAACACACAGTCTTTTCCCATACACTTGAAATATTTGCCAAAATAGACCATACCCTGGATCATAAAACAAACCTTAGCAAATTTAGAAGAATTAAAATAATTAATATAAAGTATCTTCTCAGTTCATAATGAAACTAAACTTGAAATTTATAACAGAAATACCACAGAAAATTTTCCAAGCAGTTGGAAACTAAACAACACATTTCTCAATGATTCATGAGTCAAAGAGGAAATCTCAAGGGAAATTATAAAATACATTGAACTGAATGAGAATAAAGACACAAAATATCACAAATTGTGATGGCAGCCATAGCAGAGATTAAAGGAAAATATATAGCATTAAACGTTTACATTGGAAAAGATAGAAAGTCCCAAATCAATACTGTAAGCTTCCACTTTAAGACAAAAAAGAAAGAGCAAAATAAAGTCAAAACAAGCAAAAGGAAGGAAAAATAAAACTAAGATCGGAAATCAAAAATTTAAAAACAAAAACAGTTTGTAAATCAATAAAGCCAAAAGCCGGTTCTTTGAGAAAACCAATAAGATTGATAAGTATCTAGCAAGACTAGCAAAGTAAAAAAGAGGGAAGACTCGAAATTCCAACATCAGAAATGAAAGAGGGTATATCATTATAGACCTTACAGGCATTAAAAGCATAATAACAAAATATTACAAACAGACATGTTACAGGTCTTAATACAAGAGATAATTGGTCTTTTATTAAGATGGTAAAAGCCTGAAACATTCCTGGCTTCAACTTTAACAGAATATTGAGGAAGTTTAAATAGCTAGTTGGAAGAATCAATATGAACTCTTATGGACTCTGCTTATGTCCATAGATTTTCACCCAAACAGATTTTGGAACCAAAGCTCATTCTTCAGTTATTTCTTGAAGCATACATATATGTATATTAATGTTCAGGTTAGCTATAATCTGGTGATATGTAGAAAAATTCTCTGCAACTTCAAAAGCAGAGGAGGCAAGTAAGAAACAACAAATGGTAGATACAAGTCTTTCTGTAATTTATCTCCCTTTATCTCCCTTCTTTAACTCAGCACTTTATTCCTCAACATCAGCCAAGTTCATATTCTGATTATAAACCTATCAGCAATGAGAGTTCAGAAGGTAGGAACACTAATAGAGTTCTCCAGCAAGGAAAGATTTCTTGATCAAGAAAGTTACAGTAAAGACTGTCTTAGAAGACACTCCCAGACCTCCAAATCCTTCTAGGTAATCCTGTTCTAATTATCATGATCTCTCTCTACTCATCAAGGCCAAAACATTTATAAGTGAAACTTAGGCTATAAATTCAGCTAAATGTAATTCAGTAACCCACAGAATTAATTACTGACTTTGGCTTTCAACAGTTTCTACTTTGTGGCTCTAAGATGTAAAGGATTCTTTTAGCATAGCCTTAGAAAATTGGCATTTTGTTCTGTTTTAGGTGAGAATTTTTTATACAATGAAGATTATTTTTTCTTGCCTTAAGATGCCCAGTGGAGTAAGAAAAAGCCACTCTGCCACAACATCCTGGACTTCCTCATCACCGTTAAATCGCTCTATAGCAGTAGCTTCTCAGTCTCTCAGATCTTTGCCTTCAGTCAGCACAGTTTCAGATGACCAGAGTGATGACTTAATTGCTTTTATAATCACTTTATCCCATGGGCAGAACGTGAATAGCAGAATCACTGCTTATCACCCATCTCATCCCAACAACCAAATATATATTTTTCCCTTTGAGAGACTCTTGCATGCATCTCCCTCTCTGACCAGTCCCAGGAAGTAATAGAAACCAACTAATTGTAAAGGTCCCCAGGTCAATCTCACTGTGAGGCTTCATTCCCACAACAAATGCCTCTTTGTAATGAGATATTATGCCTGTGATGGTCCAACTGTATAATAAATAAAGGAAGTCTATAAGTGTAAAATATAAACTAAACTAATACGACTTGAAATATAACAGTTTAAATACAGTTCTGTGCTATGTTTGAAATGTGTACGCTTGGCATTACATTTTTAAAGATTTGATGAGTTACTTGTGCCTGGGCCTCTCTGGCTTCTTTCTATATGAGACAAGTAGACATCTATCTGGTCCCATAAAAACAAGATCCCTAAGGCCATCTTCCTGAGCAGAGAAGATGGCCTCAGAACACAGTGTTCTTCTGTGCCTGCGGAGATTTATTGATGAATTGCTGTGCTTCCCCTGAGGTCATTTCCATTAGTTCCCAAGGGGCTACATACAGCTTCAGGGTGAGCAGACAAAAAAAAGAGATTAGAATCTTAGATAAGATCATAAAAGGTATGGAAAAAGAAAGCATAAACCTCTTCATAGTATTCTAGAACATGTGATGTATTGGGAAGCCTCCCAAAGCTTAAAAACATTGAAATGGAGATGAATGAAAAGACATCTAATTTACACCATGCCCTTAACAACTATAAAGTGCTGTTAGAAACTGAAAATGAAAAGCAAGGACCTATGACCAAAATTACTCTACCCAGCAAAGCTATCACTTAGAATCGAAGGACAAATAAAGAGCTTCCCAGACAAGAAAAAGTTAGAGGAGTTCATCATCACCAAGCCAGTATTACAGGAAATGTTGGAGGGACTTCTTTAAGAAGAAAAAAAGAAAAAAAATCAAAAATATGAATAATAAAATGGTGATATTGCTTATCTGTCAATAATTACTTTAAATATAAATGGATTAAATGCTCCAATCAAAAACTAGGATGGCTGAATGGATAAGAAAACAAGACTCTTACATATGCTGCCTACAAGAGACCCAGTTCAAATCAAAAGGCACACACAGACTGAAAATAGAAGGATGGGAAAAGATGTTTCATGAAAATGGAAACAAACAAACAAAAAAAGCTGGGGTAGCAATACTTATATCAGACAAAATAGCCTTTAAAACAAAGACTATAACAGGAGACAGAGAAGGACCCAGTTATCCCATTTCTGGGTATTTAGCCAAAGAAACTCAAAACATCACTTCAAAGGGACATGTGAATTCAAATGTTCATTGCAACATTATTTACAACAGTCAAGATATGGAGTCTACCTGAGTGTCTATCAATGAATGAATAAA